TCATGAATTACTCTGTGGGAATAAAAACTCAGTATTAAGAAATTAAGAACTATTTATTAAGAAATCTGGTTTCAGAAAGAAGAGCAGTTTCACTTTTTCTCAGTTGTGAAAACAAATAGAGCAAAGTTCAGTGATACAATTGGCTTTTCTCATATAAGTATTTTTATGCCACTAAGCTCAAGCTGATTGTATTTTAATAACCAAAACATGTTTTTGCTAAGCAGCTCCAAATGAAGTAAATGAAGAGTTACTCATATGTTTGTCAAAAGACAGTACTCCATTTGTTTCATTCATGGCATAGACTTGCTGTAAGAACCATCATTTGTTGTAATGAATTTTAGTCTGTTCTTTATCTTCACTAGTTCTTTTTGTCAGTTTGCTTTAGGATGCACGTTAATGGACTTGCACTGAGTGGTTAGTAATGAGTAATAGCCCTGACTCTGATCTGAGACAACTGTCATCTTGATTCTGGCTAAAAGTCTACTAATTTTACCTGTTCCCCAAAGAAAAGGCTTCAGAGAAGCATGAATTTGCTTGCTATACTTTCTTCAATCCAGTATTAAGTGGAAAAGGTTAAGAATATAATCCAGAGTGTGTTTCTGATGTTTGCTCATCCTTCCTTAACTGCAAATAACATTAACTGTACACCTGTGTTTTATAGTCTGATCTTCAATTCCAGCTCTGTTTCTCTGTGCAAGAAGTTATTTTATAGAAGCATAAGAGAAACGCTGTCGTCTTCATAGGACATGAAGAGACAATACCACAAATCACTGGGCTGAAGATTGCAGAAACCGCTACAAGAATTCTGAGAGGCTAAGACAATAAAAGTGCTCTGAATCAGACCAAAAACTGTAACAGATGAGGATAAAAACAACCCTTCATGTGTACTATTGTATTTAAATTAATGAGCTTTTTTCCTTAGATAAAGCTTAGATAAAGAAAAATAATGTCCTCTGCACTATGACCTGCACTTTGCTGTTTCTGCTGCTTTTTTTTTTAAAAAAAAAAAAAAGTTTTTTGTTGGGGGAAAAAAATAATGCACAGAGTACATGGAAAAATAATTGAAGCCAAAGATGTTGTATAAATTACAGTCAAACGGTATAGTATCTTAAAGTAAGAAATGAAGCTTCAAGCCAGAATGTACACGAGAAATTGCTAAAACAGGGCTCTAATTTGAAAACTAGCTATAAGAAGTTTCGCTCTCGTTCGTAGTGTGGTATATCAAAGCACACAGACAAAAATGAACTTCCTGTTGGTTATGATACTTGGCTCCACTGAGCCAAGGTATCTGAGAAGTCTGAAGAGAGAAACATTACTTGTGGCCAAAAACCATTTAACAATGAATCTTTTGTGTGGCTTTGGAAACTTTAAAGCTTTCATATTAGAAACAATTGTTTGCACAATTAAGATTAAAACTTGTTGTCAACCGTGTCCAAAAGTGTAAATCCTCCATTGGAGAAACCCTAGCAAGGAGTTTATCTTTGGTTGGTAGCCATTCAACATTTAAGAAATGCTTAAAATGAATATTCATTTTAAAATAAAAATTTTAGAAGTAATCTGAAATGAAGTTTCTAATCTGAATGTCTGAACCTGAATTAATTTGTGGCTTCACTGGACCATTCTAATACACATACAAGTTACTCATGGATTTGTTATACAGGCAGAGGACAATGTACAAAATAACTCTTAGTAAATGAGTCCTTAAAGTATAGCTCTTGCTTATTACCTCCCACAGGAAATAATGTTTAAACACTCCAGTTATTCTCCTTCATTTCAAAGTAGTTAATTGGGTGAAGGGAAACAGTTTGGAGATGAGTATTAATATCTTTTTCTGTGTACCGTAAATAGCGTTTATGACTGTGACACAATATATTTAGTTAGCTGTGGCCGCAATGGAAAATATGTCAACGATAGTTTTTAAGAGGAAAAGTAGTATCTATGAAATAATAAGTGATAATATGAGTGCTGTTGCTGTTTCTTTCAATTATTGCTGTAACATTTTCTTAAAACAACATGACTAATTATTTAAATATTTGTGTCAGATTTAATGTGAACTAATTCTGAATCTTTCAGCTTTGCAATATAGAAAATCATAGAATCACCAAGGTTGGAAAAGGCCTCTATGATGATTCAGTCCAACTGTTCATCTATTGGCAATATTTCCCACTAAACCATGTCTATCAGCAAAACATCTAAATGTTTCCTGGATGCCTTCAGGGTTAGTGACTCCACCTCCTCCCTGGGCAGCCTGTTCCACTGCCTGACCACTCTTAGGAGAAGTTGTTTTTCCTGACATCTAGCCTCAATCTCCCTGAACTCCATTACTGACCCTGCAGATCACCACTTGTGACTGGTTGTCAGCTGGATTTAACTCTTTACCGCCACTCTCTAGGCCTGGCCCTCCAGCCATTTCTTTACCCTAGCAAAGAGCGTACCCAACCAAGCTATGGGCTACCAGTCTTCCACCAGAGAATATTGCTGGGAGACTGTGTCAAAGGTTTTGCTGGAGTCTATGTAGACTATGTTGGTAGCCTTTCCCTTATACACCAGACAAGTCAGTCATAGTAGGAGATCAGATTTACTAAGCAGGACCTGCTCTTCATGAACTTGTGTTGGCTAGGCCTGATTCCTCCAGATATCCCTTATGTGCTGTGTGATCTCCCTAAGGCTGTCTCCTCCATAACCTTCTTTGGCTCCAAGATCAGAGTGGCAGCTCAGTAATTAGCTCCCCCAGATCCTCTTTAAAACCCTTGCTGTAGATGGGAATCATGTTGGTAAGCCTCCAATTGTCTGGACCAGAAATGCTGATGATAGATAATGGAAAGTGGCTCGACTATCACTTCCACCATCTCCCTCAACACCCTCAAGTGGATCCCATCTAGCCCCATGGACTTGTGGCAGTCCAGGTGGAATAGTATGTCTCTAACTATTTCCACCTGAAATGGGGTGGGTTTGTTCTGCTCTCCATCTGAGAGTTGCAAGTTGTGGGGTAGAATATCCCGAAGATAACTGATCTGAATTTTAAAGACAGCTGTAAGGAAGGTACTGAGAACTCAGCCTTTTCCTTATCTAAAGTAGTCACATTCTCAGTCACATCTCCAGATGGAGATTCTCCTTAATCCTACTGTTACTGTTAATATATTTTTTTAAAAAGTTTTTTGTTGTTGTTGTTCTCTTTTTCCCCTAATGGCTGAGTTAAGTTCAAGCTGGGCTTTTGCCTTTATAATTTTCTCTTTGTATATCCTAAGAACTTTGTGCTCTCCCTGAGTTTCCAGTCCTTACTTCCACAGAGATTCTCTTTTTCTCCTGGAGCCTCAGGAAAATCTCCCTGTTCATCCATGCTGATATTTTTCCCCGCTGACTTATCTTGCTATAAAAGAATTGTCTATTCCTACACCTCTAAGGCTTTTTTCCTGGGGAGCTTTACCAGCCTTACTGGGCCCCTTTACCCTTCAGGACTGAATCTCAAGGGACTCTCCCTACCAGTGTCCTGAACAGTTCAAAGTCTGCCCTCCAGAAGTCCAAGGTAACGCTTTTGCTGGCCCCCTCCTGACTTCACCAAGATTTGAGAACTCTACCATTTTGTGGTCACGCTGTTTAAGACAGCTCCTGACCTCTATGTCTCCTCCCAGTGCTTCTCTGTTTGTGATCATCAGAACAAGCAGAGAACCTATTAGGGAGGTGACCCTACCAGCTACATCAGGAAGTTATCTTCGATAGACTCTAGAAACCTTCTAGACTTCTTTCTCTATGTTATATTGTATTTCCTGCACATGTCAGAGAAGTTGAAGTCCCCCATGAGAACAAGGGCTGGTGATCATGTGACTTCTGCCAGCTGCTTGTAGAATACCTCATCCATCTCTTCATCCTGGTTAGGCAGTCTGTAACAGACACTCACCAAGATGTTCACCTTGTTGGCCCTGATCCTTACCCATAGGGATTCAACTTTATCATTTCCAGCCACAAGCTCAAAAACATCAAAACTTTCTCTAACATAGGGAATATTAAGTATTAAAGCATTACATCAACACCATTATTTTCATGATGAGCTGTGGCATCCTCATATAAAGACTCATAGAGTTGCATCTTAGAAATAGAAATTCACTGTATTTTCCTTTTTTTTTTTTTTTTTTTTTTTTTTTTTTTTTTTTTTTTTTCCCTTCCCTAATGGATGGGAATAGTTGCTTCCTCTTCTTAGCTTCAGTTTTACAGTAACACCTAGTTGGCTAAAATACAATAATACTGTGTCACTAACATACATCATTCTGGAATTTAAAATGTATTGTTTATTGCTTTTCATTCCAGCAAACCTGTGAATAGAAACAAACCTAGATAAATCAATTAAAAAGGCATGCAAAATGGACCATAATGAGCATTGACTACATGCTTGCATTCTATTTATAGTGATATTTAATGCATCTCTACCCTATAGAATTTATTTATAGCTATTGTGCTGAGTCACGTGGTATAAGTAATGTTTTATAGAATTATTTCAGTCAGGTATGATTACTTTTCAGTGGCTTAAACCTATGTTTTTACTTCAGAGCAATAAAATTGCAGCACAGTTTAGTACCTCTCAAACACTGCAGGAAGTATATCTGTATAAATACATAAACAGAAACAAAATCACTTATTCAAATTGTAAGTATATGAACATAAGCTTTGCAACCATATGGTTGAAACTTCAGCTCAGCAATTATTTACTAAGTTACGTTTCATTTAAAATGCTTTGAAATTTTATTTGCGAAGTTTATCCTTTCCTCATTCAACAAATCTTTTTTCCAGAAAAGGTAATGGAGAGTTTACTTCTGTAGTTAAAGATTTTCAATAGTGTAAATTTTCAATAGTCAAACGTGTAACCATATTGCATTTTTAGGGAAAAAAAAGCAACAATGAACTTCTATTTTACTTCATTTTTTTTTAGTTTTGTAAGTATTAAGAAATTTGAATGTTTTTAATTTCATCTTTATATATTTCTTAACACTGTTTCTATTTTTCAGATTTTCCAGATTGCATATGTTATTGTGAAAGCAGCTAATTCACCTCGACCTGGGAATTGGATATTAGAACGTTCTCTGGATGGCGTAGACTATCAGCCATGGCAGTATTATGCTATTACAGATAGTGAGTGCCTGACACGCTACAACATTCATCCCCGTCCTGGAACTCCATCTTATATAAAAGATGATGAAGTTATATGCACCTCTTATTATTCTAAAATACATCCTCTGGAGAATGGAGAGGTAAGATCAGATATTGTATCACACACAGTAATTTGGCGTAAAAAAAGTACTTGGCTTAATTGGCAAGTATCAGTCCTGCATAGAGAAAACATACCAATAAGCTTAGAGAGGTAGCATATTTGTAGTTGTAAAAATTATATTTTGCATGGTGCTGCACAAACGTGTAAGATATACACTCTAAGTATGCTCTACAAAGTAAACAAAGGGATGAGTTTAGGTAGAGCTAGGCACTTGTACTTAGCTTCAGATGCTGTCACTTGAGAGCAAAGGTGACAGTACAAGTCAGCTTTTCTTTGAATTGTTCTTTCAGTCCCTGCGTATAAGTTAGGATATTATGTGGTAAGGATTATACGTAGAGTTTAATTTACTGCAATGTAGCTGATCCTCTGCCCCTGTGCATACCTATTCTTTCTTCTCCTGTGTGAGATGTCTGCGAAATCATTGAGTGCAGGCACGTGAATCATGGGCCAGTCATTAGATTTAACTGAAACAATAGCAAAGATGTGATAAAGGTGAGAATAAGGAACCGTAGTTGAAAGGACTTGGCCTCTGATACTATTACAAAGCAAATATAACAACTGTAACTGAAAATACAGTAATTTCAGTCACTTACAGTGAAGACAGGGAAAGCTATGTGTACCAAATTCGAACAACTCCGTTTTCTCCAATACTTGCTTTTCACATTATTTAGTAATTCAAGAAAATAACATGAGTTCAACAAACCCAAGTGCAAGGTCTTGCACATGAGTCAAGGCAACATCCACTACTAATACAAGCTGGGATACCAAAAGGATTGAGCACAGCCCTGCCAAAAAGGACTTGGAGGTATTGGTGGATGGCACTGGACGTGAGCCCGCAATGTGCCCTCACAGCCCAGAAAGCCAACTGTATCCTGGGCTGCTGCATCAGAAGAAGTGTGGCCAGCAGGTTGAGGCAGGTGATCCTGCCCCTCTGTTCTGTGCTGGTGAGGCCTCACCTGAAGTGCTGCATCCAGATGTGCAGCCCTTGGTACAGGAGAGACAGAAACCTGTTGGAGCGCATCCAGAAGAAGGCCATAAAAATTCTCCAAGGGACAGTACTGTTCTCTTAGCTTGTCCTCCCAGGAGAGCTGGGGCAGTTCAGTCTGAAAAGATCTCTGCAAGGTGACCTGATAGTGTTCTTTCAGTATCTAAATGGGAGCTACAGGAAAGAAAGGGACTTCCTCTTTGGCAGGGTCTGTGTTGATAGACCAAGGGGAAATGGTTTCAAGATTGAAGATAGTAGATTTATGTTAGATGTAAGGAAGAAGTATTTTACAGTGAGGGTGGTGAGGTACTAGAACAGGTTGCCTGGAGACATGTTAGATGCCAAATGCCCTGTCCTTGGAGACTTTCAAGGCAAGCCTGGACCAGGCACTGGGCAACCTGATCTATCTGTGGATGTCCCTATTCATTGCAAGGGGGTTGGACTCGATGACCTTTTAAGGTCTCTTTCAACTCTAAGGGTAATATGATTCTATGACTTAAATGTGTTTTAGATCTGGAGTATATATTTGTTTACAGATTTTTTGATGTTTGATGATGCTGTATGAAATTTTAGCCTCAATATTTATCCTTCTGTTGAATTTTTGTTCCATTTCCTTAATGGTTTATCTTCAAGTAAAGGCACACAAACTTGTTCTCTTTTTCTCCTCTACATGCAAAGAAACATTCCCATGCAAAATTGTTACAGATATTTTTGAGTACTGGATATAGATATGTGTTCTATTTTTATGTCCACAGACAGTTTCTAACCAGCTGCAAAAATGTAAAAGCATGGTTTTGAAGAAAAATATTTTCCTGAAACACTTTAAAAAGATGTAAGTTTGAGTCCAAAAATTTGCTTGTATAGATAATCAGACAAGATATTCTAAATACTTTGTGAGTGTATCACTTGAATGCAGATAGTGATAGCACAAGTGGAAGGAGTTTTAAACTATAGTAGGAGAGATTTAAATTAGATGTGAGGAAAACATTTTTCAATCAGGGTGGTGAGCCACTGGTACAGGTTGCCCAGAGAAAGTGTGCGTGCCCTATTCTTGGAAACATTCGAGGCCAGGTTGAGTGGGGCTCAGGGCAGCCTGATCTGGTGGGTGACAAACCTGCCTGTGACAGGGAGTTGGAACTGGTGATCTTTAAGGTTCTTTTTAACCCAAACATTTCTATGACATGAATCCGTGATGTAATTGTCATTCTTGCATGCAGATGGGGATTTTGCTAGTCTGCAGTCTCTTGGTTTAACTAGTGCCTCCTTGTATTCTTCATTGTCAGAGCAGAACTGTAAAGGGCCTTTGTTCAGTAAATTGGTATAATCTTTGATACATACATACATACATACATACATACATACATATATATATATATATATCTTTAATTGAAATGTTGACTTGAGTAAAAGTTAATTCCTATCTTAAATGGACAATTAATCATTTTTCAACTCGTCTTTACGTACTGGAGTTGGCATTCTGCCATGAACTTAATAAATAATAAGCTTCTGCTAAACAGTTTCCTTAAACAGGAAGAAGACCTGGAGGGGAGGGAAGAATTAATTTGTTCAGTTCCATGCAGAAGAGTGCAACTGTTATGTACAAGCATAGTTCTGTGAAACCATATGATTTAAGCCCTACCCTGAATTAATCTTACCTCACATGTTATCTGAGATTTCACCCTGATAGTGACAGAGTGTAACTCCAGGGCTTTGCTGTTATTATGACCAGAGGAATTCCACATGAATTAATCATTCTACATTTTAAACAATATTTCTTTCACAAGTACAACACTATATTTAGCTGCTTATGTAGCTATAGATAGCATTATAAAATACTTTGCATTAGCACAGAAAAATTCTTTCATGTTTCTTCAAAAATGTAATGTGAAAAAATAAAGCAATTCATATCTATTTCGGATTCACTTGTAAATGTGTTGGAAGAGATATTTCTTGGCTCTTGGCCTTCCAGTGGAGCCACATTTGCATATCATTTATTTCTGTTCTATGCACCAGATATTACAGAGAACTTGTAAGACTGATGGAGTTATGAAATGTGTGTTATGCACCTTTCCTTTTCCTCAAAAACCTTGAGTTATTTAGTCACACAATTTTTATATCTGCTAAGGAATCTTGACGAACTGCAGAAGGAAGTGTCAGCAAACCAGTACCAAAACCAAATGTATGTTCAGTCACTTTAAGATTTGCTGTCTAAGAAAAATAAAAATATTGCCTTCATGTATACTTTCATTTAAAATTTTACTCAGCAACCTGTTTAAGTTATTTTAAGCAAAATAATTTGGGCTTTTAGTAATGTCAGCATTTGCACAGCAAGAATTCTTTTAGCTGGACAGAATTTAACAACAAGCAACAACACACACACACACACTGCAGCATTTATTTTCAGATTAGCCTAACTAACTTTTCTGTCACATGTGAATAAACAAGTTGTAGACTAAGAGTTATTTGCATAGCATTATTTTGAGTATTTTCATGATTTAAGAGTAAAATGTGTAATGAAATCTTCTGAATGTTGAGAATCATAGAATCATGTGTAGAAATTACACTTTCTGAAATAAGGGAATTTCTCCCGGAAGCGTAGACTTGCATACAAAGATTGTTAAGATTTCAATTTCTATATTGTCTGAAAACAAACAAAAGAATGAAATAAAGCATAGATCATGTTTCTGATACTCATCAGAATCTAAATCTAAATGCAAAAGGTTTTGGAATTAGTAATTCAACATGAAAAATTAGTGTTCTCAAGCCAGAAAAAAAAAAAAAACTGAGATAGTTGTTAAAAGTTGAGTAACCTCTTCATATAATAGAATTGATTTTTTTTTACCTTAAAAGTAATTTTTTTTTTTTTTTTTTTTTTTTTTTAACAGTAACTGAGGAAGTGTTTATAAGGTGTAGGATGAAGCTGTTCGTTTAAGGAAAAGAAAGATTTTTGCAATGTTTTCATCTTTACATATGCACCATGTTGGAGTGATACTTGTTTTATTTTCACAGATTATCATTAAGTGGGTTACTGTAGTGATTTTTTCTTTTTTCTTTTTTTTTTCTTTTTTTTTAATGCAGAAGCCTCTTTTGACATCTAGTTTTTTTATGCCATTTTTATTAAAATATTTCTTATTCTGCTACTAAAAAAAATCATGTCAAAGCTTCTGTATCTTGATGATTGGGCAGGTATAAGCCTCTGGACATTAACTTTCAATGTCATATATTTTCTGTGAGGAATATGGAGATTTCTTTAGTAAACACTTTTTTTGAGCTAGTATGTGTTTGTGCTTTGATGCATGAGAATCTCCCCTCTTGCTTGGATTGTTTCTGAACTGGACCCTCTAAAAACTTCAAGTGCTCAAGTTGACCACTGTAACTTGTTAGAAAGTATTCTGCCTGACTGTGGTCTGATAGGCAATTGATACTAAGTAGAAAAAGAAATGTGTTTTTCAAGCATTCAGAAATGCTGAACAGAAAGACATGAGCCAAATCCAGTGAAATAGGGAGAGGAGTTTTTAATTTATCTGATTTAAAAAAAAAAAAAAAAAAAAAGTTGCTTTTAAGAAGACAAGACAAAAAAAAAAAAATCCCTAATATTCTGGAAAACACTGAATTTCTTCACATTGATGTATTGATGTTTTCTGAAAGTATAAAAGCCAAGAGGAATGTGTGAATTCTCTCAATGTAAAATCTTAATTGGAGTAGACAATTGACTTTTTTTAGTCCATGTGAGCCTCAATATATGTGCTGACAGAATTTTGCAATAATTATGGAGTTTTTCAATAATTGTCATCATAATAGTTGCACAGTAGTTAAGTAAACTCATGAGCAGAAATGCTTTCCTTCCCGTGGGTAGAATATGAATGGATATGGGTGGAGTTTAGATTACATAAGTTACAGATACTGAGCATGATCTGCCAGTTTGATTGGAAGATTTAATGTGAGAAGGGGGAATTAAGATAGTAGATTAATTGAAAATGAGCAGTACTTTTCAT